TGACGTATCGGGGTAATGTTACTACTATCGGTTAGAATACGTTTTATATGCTTTCTGCTGTGCATTCAGGAGGATGTTTATTTTTTTTTTAAAGAAAAATGAACCAGTAATATAGAGTGGTTCTCTCATGTTTCTTGGTGAGAAAACCTCTTGCTTCCGGGAAAGATTGAGACCATGATACTATTCTCGTGAATGCTTTTAATATAAGTTTGTTTGATTGCTAGAAAATCACCTACACGCAGACTTCAAAGCTATAAACTCATACATTCTAAACAAGTGACAAATGTTTTGAAATTACCGACAAAAAAAAACATTGATTTATTGACTGATTTGTTTTTAGATTGTATGATTTTGTTTGAGATAATAATGATTTACTAATGAAAGTTTCATTGATAAACGCATAACCGGTGGGGAGAGATGATAGAATTTATACTATTCGGACTTTTGTCCTCATCTTTGTCGCCATATTTATTACAACGTTTCGGCCGTTGTACGCTCCGGCCTTTTTCAGGTGGATGTAAAGTCGAAATGAACCCTTTATTTCGCTCACTGGGATAGACTGTTCTAGTTCTATGTGCCATGTTTAATGGATGTCAGTTATCAGTTATCTCCTGTTTATTTCCCTCTCCAAGTTCTCCACTGCCTTAACCGGGTATTGAAATCACACTCTTTGGGTCCTGTCACTGGATCAAACCATCGCCTTTATCCACTGTGTCCTTGAGGGCATCCGTGTATGAATTTCTGGGTATTATAAACCTAAACTAACTGAAGAAGGCCGGAGCGTACAACGGCAAAACGCTGTAATAAATATGGCGACAAAGACGAGGATAATAGTCCGAATAATGTAAATAGTTTACATAATACCTCATCTTAGAAATATAGACATATATTTTAATGACGTAATATTTCTATAAATATTAACAATAAATGAATCTATGGAATATTGATGTAACATTGCTACCATATATGCTCACATATCATGCGACATTTAAAGACATCATTTTGATGCTAATGCTAAGGGGTTTGCATCATACACGAGATAAAAAATAAAATTAGCGTAGGTAAGGCTGGCCCTGGCTACGTCGTTGGCCAAACTATATATCCATTTAGTGTAGTAAAAAAGTAGAGCTGTATTTAAAATAAATATTATTTTGATAAATTGATGCTTTACTTAATTGTATCCATTAATAATGCATGTAATATTCACATATATCTATCGTATTGTAAAATGCAAATATAGAGAATGTGCATATTTTTCATTGTTTACGCTTATATTTAGCTGTTTCTTGTTCACGTTTACGAAACGAGTATAGCGTTACTAACGATATTTTATTATACACATTTAATTTGTTTTAACATATTTATGGGATAAAGGGATAGAGGAAAAGAGCTTAGTGAATAACATAGTCTAAGAAGAATAACATTCTGAAATAATATTGAAAATGCATAAGGGAATTAAAAAAAATAATGTTCAGTTATAGTTGACGTCCCTTTTCTAATGTGTTACTCTCTTTTTCTCGTTTTTGAAAACATAATTATTTGCAACCCTATGGAAAGCAGGAGAAACCATATCTAACTATAATCATTTTCCTAGTCTTTGTCCATGTCAATTAATTTAGTGGAGAATTTTGGATGTACCTAAAAATGCCATACGTGATAGACGCTTGGGCAATCATGTCGATTCTTTGAGAATAAAACTATTTTTTCCGGATATCTGTTCTACAGTTTAACCCAAAACTTGGATAAAAGGTGGATCCATACCTTCCTCAACTATATTGCTGCCATATATGGTCTGGAGCCCCTTCTGTTTGCCTCGGGGTTCTTGATAGGCTCCAGAGGCGGATATGCAATATAATTGCCCCTGATCTGGCATCTCGTCTACAGACACTTTCTCACAGACGCGCCGTCGCCTCTCTCTGTCTGTTTTACAAATACTTTCATGGCAATTGCTCCGAGGAGCTGCATTCGCTGGTTCCCAGACGTCATGAGTTCAAGCGCCCGACGAGGTTGGCAGCCCGCTCTCACCCCTTCACTGTCGAAACTCCTAAATGTAGCCGTCTCTTCTACTCCAATAGCTTCATGTCTCGCATCTCTCGCCTGTGGAACTTCCTTCCCTATTCCAGTTTCCCTGAAAGCTATAATCTTCAGCTATTCAAATGTAATGTCAATCGACATCTCCAGTTGCCTTGACCTATCCACTACCATTCTCCTCATCCTTTCCTCTATCACTCCTATCTGATCTTGCTCCAAATCTTCTGTAACCCCTTGCGTCCTAATGGCTTACCGCCTTACTTGGGGTGAAACGCTTAAAAAAAAAATTACACGTAACGGAATTTAACGAACTCGACTGGAATTCGAACTCAACTTTCCAGGCCTCCAAATCTTCATAATTTTAACTCCCTTTCAAAGACTCTCTCATTCATATATCACACATCATCCATTATAAACAATTTCCCTAGCCTTCTACCTTGAGTTTTTCTCGCGTCATGTATTGGGTGTCATTTTGTATAAAATGTTAGGAAATAATTTTTCGCATTTACCATATTTTCTTAGACTTACTTCATAGAGTCAAGTAATTTTCCAGGATATTTGATAACACCTAATGAAAGAAATATTACTTACACTGAATTTTTTAAAAAATCATTAATTTGTTTCAGAATATTTTCTCTTTACAACCAACTTATCAGTAATCTATTTCTAGAAATCTAGAGGGATCAGCCGATCGAAAATTTGACCGCGGCCGGAGAACAATTACAGTGCCATAAATGTTATAGCAGCAGATTTATCTTATAACAATAATCCCCGAGTTTGACAACTACCATATTCCCCAAATTTCGCCCCTTGCATTATAACATTATCCGGAGTATTGTCCTCATCTTTCTCGCCATATTACAACGTTTCGGCCGTTGTACGTTCCGGCCTTCTTCCGGTTGTTGGAATGACGAACTGAACCTTTATTTTTGCTCTAGGTCCATCCGTGCTTAATGGATGTCAGTTATCAGTTATCTCCTATTAGTTTCCCTCTGAAAGTTCTCCACTGCCTTAACAGGGTATTGAACTCACACTCTTTTGGTCCTGTCACTGGATCTAACCCTCACCTTTATCCACTGTGCCATGTGTCCTTCAGCCATCTGTGTATGAATTTCTGGGTATTATAAACCTAATGTTTCAGTAACCATTTTTAAAAGTGCTCATATTGCAATTTTATGCTGTTATCATCATGTTTTTACCAGAGCTCATATTGCAACTTTTGTTGTTATTATCGCTTTTCTCTGGTACTGCTTATTAATGGTTCCCATATTGTATTCATTTCTATGATTGATCGGCTCAGGAGATTTTTGTGGCCTAGCATATGTGCTGATTCCTTAAGTTTACAAATTTTCGAATGGTGTTCCTTGTCAATGATCTCAACCGGATCCCACAGAAGGCGATGATCTCCCTTTTTCTCCATATGTGCTCAGTTTCTGTGATAATTCTGATGAAAAATCTTCCTTACTTGTGTTGTTCCTTAACTCCTTTCACAGCTAAATATTCAGTCGGACTCAATATAGCAAAATACAATGCATGGACGAATGGTAGACCTATAAATATTAAAAATAGATTCTGCTGAAAAAATATCTAGCATGATACAGTAAAGGAACATTCCTCCCTGCAGAGCTAGCAATTGATTCAATATAATATTTCAAATTCATTTCAGCAGAAAACATTGTCCCAAGAGAGAGCAATATTTAACTCTCCTGTAGGTTAGCATCAGCCATGCTTTTGTGAAGTAATTTTTTTTCTCAAACGTTTTTTAAGGAGTACTATAAACAGTTTCTAAGTCAATAATTTTTCAAGATATTTGATAACACCTAATGAAAGGAATATTACTTATATTGAATTTGAAAAAAAATCACTGATTTTTTTAGAACATTTTCTCTTTGCAAAACAATTTATCTGTAATCTACTTCTAGAAATCTAGAGGGATCAACTGATCGAAACTTTGACCGCGGTCAGAGAACAATTACAGTCCCATAAAAGTTAAAAGAGCGCTCCATTCCTATATAGATATACTGATTAGAGTAAATAACGAATTATTTATGACGAAAATGTGAAAAGGTGTATGAAAATAAGTCAAGAATTGATGATTTTTATCTCTTGAATATTTATGAAGCTTATGAATATTTATTGACGTAGAAACACTTCCTTTCGATATCAATCAACCACTCCACCATTTGGAAATTCTTTGCGATTATAAGTTCACTTGCGGTTTGAGGTCATCGTCTACATTTCTACGTTTATCTGGCGGGAGTGCCTGCAGATTAGGAGAGGGGAAAGCAATGAGAGAGAAACGCTAGAATATATCTATTATTATTTATTATCAGAAATATCTCTCAGCAAATAGAGTTTTATGCTTAGTTCATATCTCCTTGTGATTTTATTTAGGATGAGAACAACAAAGTTTGCTACTCGTATTCTCCATGCTTCTCAATTTCATTTGGTAAAGTAAATATTTACAAATCTGTAAATCTGTCCTCTTGCACTCAAATGATATTTCAAATTATTTATACCGTGCAAAGCTAAGTTGAAGTGCCAAAAAATTAACTCCAGTTTTGGGGGCTAAATATGGCGATTAAGCACAAAGGGATAGAGATTAGTAATTATTGGAGAAATTACAGGAATGCAATTAGTTCAGTGAGGACTTTAACAGGACCCAACATGAACGTGTTTACTGGAGTTTACAGCAGTTTAGAGTGATGATCAGAGGTTCACATAGAATTAGCCTGGTGTGTGTGAAACAACTGTGCCATAATCACCCTACTACTGACTGGCTCAATACATAACCTAGACAGTCGCTTTTAGAGGAAATCGTGGCTTCTTTGATGACAAGGCAAATCACTGATAGTCTTCCACTGGTCGAATGGACATAATATAGGTAAAGCGCTCTAAGTAAATGCCATGAGATCAATAATTCTTAAGTTGGTGTTCTATGAAAAAGAAATCGCATGGAATGCAGAGCTTTCGGCTATATTAGGTTGAAACACAGGTTCTTGTACGATCACCGTAGTTAAGCAAAGTTGAGGCCAGATTGTACCTAGATGAGTGACCATTAGGGAATATCAGGTGATGAAACCTTAGATATCCGTGTAGTGTAATAGATAAGGATCAAAATTTATTTATTGAAAAAATGTTTGATCAAAGTAACTATAAACAATTTTTTTTTTGCTATACACTGCTAGCCACAATGATGGAGAAAGCCTTACCTCGAACCATCGCCAGTAAGTCACGCTGCAAGAATCACTCTGTTTTGCGAGGGTCGTCCCTTAAATGAGACTCAAACGCGCCAATCCTCCGAGAGAACAGCATCGAACTCGGGCCAACAACCCCAGAAGTATCCACTGCTACCGGAGTAAAAAATAATCTATCAGCAAGAGAAGAATATTTAAATATTTTTTTTTTTTTATCTCTGCATCCCGGGCGACGGACCTGATCAAACTACCGGTCGAAAATGTATCCGCACAATTCGCATCCCAAATCAACGACTTCTCCATTTTAAAAGGGAAAATGGTAATGTCATTCGGCCGCTTTCCATGGTCACAATATGATGTCGGTAAGCTGAATTCCAATTTCAGTCGGGTTCGTTATCTACACCTAAACGCAAATACACTGGGGAAGAAATAGAAATTCACCACTTCACTTCCCCACCCCGCACCTATTGGTTATTTTGTAGAAATTGTATCAGTAAATAAATATTATCTCAAAAAATCCTTAAAATCTAAAATATTTTCTGGCTTTAAATAACCTGTAAATTGTTTATAAGCCGTAAAAATATATATAAAATAATCAATCAAACACATGGAATGCAATGCACATTATAATTTTTTAAAATAGAATGTTTTAAACTGAAAGTATATTTAGTGGAAATATAGAAGTGGTTTCTCTGATAAGCAAGAGAAATACAGGTTCGATTCCTGTCAGGAGGTATATTTTTCTTTAGTATAACGTCTCTGTCTAGGCCGTTTGATATTAATTTAAATTTTGAAGAAAACAGGAATAGCATATCAAAAAATTGTAACCACTAGAAATAATATATATATATATATATATATATATATATATATATATATATATATATATATATATATAGTAATAAGAAACAGTAGGTGATTTTTAAAAATCATAAAATTCTAATATATTGCTTTGTTTACGTTTGGAGTAAGAACATAAAAGGTAGTTGTCATACATTTTTAAAAGTTTCAAGCGTGAGATATGCTTTAAATAAGTATTTGCGACACGGTTTATCTTGATGATTCCACGTGGCCAAATTGGTACACTTTTGCTTTGACAGAAAAAGAGAACTGACTTTCGATTTCCATCAGGAAAGAAGCCACCCTTAAGTGAAATGTGCCATTTCAGTTAAGTCAATCTTCTTGATCTGGACCGGTTTACTTTCATTTTATTGGTAAGAAACATAAAAACAGAATATCAACTCAAACACCTACAAAAATAACGATTAAGGAAATATTTTTTGAAAATCATTTAGCTTCAAGCAAGGCAATAACGCTACTAAGACTGAGTGAAAGAGAAAGATAAGACTTTGTTTAACAGAGAAAACAATAAAAGAACAGGAAATAAGAAGATTGGCATTGCATTTACTTTGAAGATCAAATTTAACCGCAAACCAAGAATCTAGAAGATAGTTCCACAAGTAACAAGTGTGAGAGATGAAAATTTCACCATAGACCTTACGGTTGCATCTAGCCATTTCAAATATAAAAAAATGATACCTTGTCTTCAATCTACTACGGCGCTTAAATTAAGTACAGCGAATTCAGTAACACTTCCCTCAACATAATCTTTTAATTGTTGTATGATTTGATGTAACGTCCTCATCACGAGTGTCAGTATTCTAGTTAGTTTCCGCCCACACCGTTATCAAATGGGATTGATAGTAGGTTTTCGGCTGCTACTGGTGTCTACAGGATTCCTCATTTTCTACTGTAACTTTTTCTGTTCTTGACACTCGTTACTGAGAAAATAAGAACAACAAAATAATTTACAATCAGAAGATGGCTGATCTTTGTCTGGAATTGATACATATTTCGTAAAATCATGTACAGACAAACCTTGAGGATATACCACCTAGGGGACATCGTGGCCAATTTTTGTGCAGAAATGGTGTTAAAACATGTCAGCAAGACTGGCACAGTTATTCTGTTTCATCTACAATAACTGTTTACCTATTAAGTCGCGCAGATGTCAGCTGGTTGTGTCAAGTAGAAGAGAATGATACTATGCAGTTTACAGGTGTCTCTAACTTTTGTGCACAAGTCAGATATAGCACATGGTCTGGGTCCCATTTGAAGTGGGTGTCACTGAGCATTTCATATTAGATTCAGATACGCGATCTCTTATTTCATTCAGATTGATAATGTCGCTTTGATTTTGAGTGAGGAAAACTGCGGTGGTCAACAAAATAGGTCTGGCGCTACAGAAACAAAAACAATAAAAAAATATGTATCAAATAGCAGAAAGCATATCACGTGAGAAATGTAAAGAGAAGCAATGAATATGTTGACATTCCGCAAAACTTCAAACAAAAGGTTAGGAAGGAAACGTCCATAAATGCTGGAAAGAGCGATAATAGGGTACTTGAAATACGGATTTTCCTAATAAAATTATTTTAATATAATGATATTATAAATTTAAACTGACAGTAACGTAGTTGATCGGTCAATGAATACCGAGTATTTCCTTATAAGGGATCGGTTAATGTTACCATTTGCATTAATAATGAATTTTCTACAAATGATTGTTACATTTCAGTATACAAAAATCCATTGAAAATATCGTAAATGAAGCTTTATGTTTGTCGAAAATATAAAAGCAAGAAATAATCACGTGTAAAGGAGAGAACGCGTGGTGTTTCATTGAAGTCATCGGGACAAAGAAATGTGATATTTATTCTCAGAATGATATCAGAAAGAGAAATAACAATGTAAAAAACCGTCCCGTGTATAAGGATAAACTACATCTGCGTCCAGGGTAAGACGATAAACTACGCCCAATAGCAAGGCCTCTGATTAGGAGGCTTTGAGGAGCGTGGAACCACCTCTTACCTGATGATGTTCCCAAGTCCACCCTGACCTAGGGTGGTAGCACCTGATAGGGTCCTTGGCGATGGATAAATAGTTAACCCTCAAACTGAGATAAAAAGCATCATGAAAGTGTAAATAAAGGTTTTAATACCAGAAATGATTTGTAAAAAAAAAAAATATATATTACCTGAAATAAAGTTTTGAAGAAAAAATATTACCAGCAATACGTTTTTGAAAATAACATTACCAGCTATACAATGTTGAGGAAAAAATATTACCAGAAATAGATTTTTGACAAAACAAAAATATTACCAGGAACAAAAAGTTGTCGGCATTAAATCACCCATTGAGGTTGATATGCCGTAAAACATACCAAACCAAACCAATGTAAAAGGAAGTGTCACCTATACTTTATATATTGGTTTGAGGAATAACATATTTTCAAATTTATTTTAACAAAAAAAAAAAAAAAACAAATTAATCAATAATATACTTTCCATTGTTGTGTACGAGCCGCGACCACCGCTATCGTCCAATAAGTTTTTTCATGCCTCAGCGATAGAAATCTCCCGGCCTTGACTCAAAGAATTCTTTCCATCAAACCCTCAAAAATTGCCTAGCATGAAACAGTTAACGAAAATTCTTAGTATTAGATCTAGCAATTGATTCATTATAATTTTTCACCTTCATGTTAACAGAAAACTTATCCTGAGAAAGAGCAAAGATTCATTCTCCTGGAGGTTAGCATCAGTCATGCTGATGTAAATTAAATTTTTTTTTCAAACGATCTTTAGAGAGTGCAATAAACATTTTTCTAGTTTCTGACTAAGTCAATTGATTTTCCAAGATATTTGATAACACCTAATATAAGGAATATTTCATATATTGAATTATAAAATTAATGATCTTGTCAGTATTGGGATTTCAAATTTTCCGTTGTCCTCAGTCGAAGATAGATTTGCCTACTCGTTTCACTAATTGATCTGAAGAGATGGACGTCTGAATTGTACGAAATAAATTATCACCCAACCGAATGGATTTTTAAGAATTTTGTATTTATTATTATATTGCTCTGTTCTTACCTTGAGCTCTCTTTAGATGTGTCTCCCTTCGAATGATCCCTACAAATCATCAATTATATATATATATATATATATATATATATATATATATATATATATATATATATATATAGATATGTTTGTGTGTGTGTGTGTGTGTGGAGTGAGTGTGTGATGTCTGATGAAAAAAGCCCCCAATTTCACGTCATTATTGAACGTTACACCACGCAAAGGTTTCGAAAGCGATCGAAAGAGATGAAAATCTGACGGCACCAGGTCTGGAGAGTGTGGAGGAGGAGCCAGCATTTTCCATTCGAGTCCTTGAATCGCGGCTTTGGTCATATAGTCGAAGTGATGACAGACGTTGTTGAGTTGCAGGGTTCAGTTCAACATTCCATCCACCTGAAGAAGGCCGGCTGAAACGTTGTATTAAATATGGCGACAAAGATGAAGACAATAGTCCGAATAATTTAAATAAGGATGTGTCTTCTAACAAATTATACATTCTTTAACGTGATCCAACACCGAGGGAATCAGAAATCCTGCAAGGATTTATTATTGACAGCCAGAAGCTTAACAATATAAGATATGCAGATGAAACAGTGTTGATAGCAGACACGTAATGTAAATTACAGGCAGTTGAGAAGAATGGAGTAATCATCAATTGCAAAATGACAGAATGTATGTTTGTCAGGAAAAGGAAGTGCCAAATTGCTAACTAAGAATTTGAGACACCAAGATCATGTTGGTACAAAGATTAGAATCTAAATATCTAGGGGGTTCTTTAACAGTGGACGGAAAATTTTATACCGAAATCTCAAAGTGCATTAGAGAAACGAAAATATGCCTTCTGAATTTTAATCAGGGTGTTAAGAAACAGGGAAATTTCTTTAGAAACAAAGAAATAATTACGGAACTGCTATATAATATCAGTCCTCTTATATGCCAACGAATGCTGGACAATCCGTTTC